CGGGGACGGCAGGCTGGGGCCGGCGGCTGGGGGCAGCCGTGCACAGCATGGGCGGCCCGCGGGCCTGGGCGCTGCTCTGCCTCGCACTGCTACTCCCAGGAGGCGGCGCCGCGTGGTCCGTCGGAGGCACCCCGTTTTCTGGACGCAGGTAAGGGCTCCTCCAACCCTGTCCCCTGCCAGGCCAGCGAGTCTGGACACACACACTACCACCACTTCCATGCACTCCCGGGATTAGTAAGGCGACCTGCGTCCCGACCTCAGTGCCGGGTTGGTTTGGGGCAGGCACCGGAGCCACCCAGCTACTGGGCTATCTGCCCAAGGCTCTTGGGATTCCGGAGTCCCCTACCGATGTGTCCGGAGCTCGCAGCCTCCCTACTCCCTCTCCTTCAGCCCCAGTTTACTAGAGGGGGAGGAATGAAAGGACTTGTCACCCCTGGCCCAAGGGCCCCTCCCCCTGCACATGGGAAAGGTCCTGCACACCCCTTAGCAACACTTGGGGGGCTCTCTCCCCTTTTCCTTGCTCCCGGCTTTTTTTTTTTTTTTTTAGTACCCGGCTATTTACGTCCCTTAGAGGAAGGACTGGGGTGGAGACTCAGCCCAGTGGGTCAGTGTTAGAGGTTCTCCAGGGACCTGGCATTTTCCGCAGAGAGGGACAGAGCATTTGATCTCCCTGCTGCTCCTCTAACAGCTAGGAACATTATTTCTGCCGCCCTTCGTGGCGTGTCTCCCAGGATCTGGTTCTGTGGAAAAGCCCTGGGTCATCTTCAAGACTGAAGAAGGTAGAGAAAAACTGTCCCCACTCAACAGATAAGCAGACTGAGACCAGAAAACTGACATGATCATCCAGGCTCAGGGGTTTGCAAAGCTGGAATTCAAATCTGTCTTTCCTGCCTGGATGACAGTGTTTGAACCTGCTCTGGCCCCTGGTTGGCCTGCAGCCTCTGCCCAGGTCCACTTGGGAGGACCAGCCCCCTTTGTTCAAGGCAGACAATGTAGACTAGCTAGGCCCCTCCAGGGCTTTTCATCCTGTTCAAAGGCCAGCCTGACTCCCGCCTCCTAAGGCCTCACTTCTTTAATTCTTTTCAGAAATTCCTCTTTCTCAGTGGTAAGGGGCCAGCACGCCCCTGCTGAGCTAGCAAAAGCAGGTGACATGGGCAGGCCTGTAGATGCCCGAGGCATCAGAGGCCAGAAGAGCAGTTTTCTGAGACAGAGCCACCACCTACTATGTGCTGGCCAGGGGTGGCTTGGGTTAGGCACTTTTTCTGCATCCCTGACCTCCAGAATCTTCACACCTTCCATTTGAGCCATGCTTTGTTAATCCCTGTTTCACAGAGCAGAAAGTCAATATTCTGCAAGGGAATATGACCTGCCCAGAGCATGGGTGTGAGACATCAGGATCCCAGATGCTCAGATGGACTTCCCGGTGTCAGTCTCATGGTGATGATGCAGAGAATGTAAGAACTGGCCTCCCCTGAGGCTTGGCCTCTCACACTGGGCTCTTCTCCCCCAGAGCCCCCTGGGTAGGAACAGGACTGTAAATGTGGGCAGGTATCTAGTAGTCCCTGGGGACTGACATCTCATCTGTTTACAGAGGCTGTCACAGTGGACTGAGTGTCACAAAAGCTATGTTGTCAATGTTCTTCCTCCTGTGTTATAGATAAGGAGACAGGGGCCTAGAGAGGAAAAGGAGCAGTACAGTGCAGGCCAAGAAGTTTGCAAATCTACCATCTCTTCCTCCCCAGCAGTCCTCCACATTAGGGAAAGAGGTTATCCGCTTGAGGGGCTCACAAGCTTTAGAGGTCATACTTGGGAATTTAGAGCTCTGGCCTTGCACACAAGGTTTTATTCCTGCCTCTGTCACTCACTCACTATGCAACCTCAAGCAGGTGGCCACGCTTTGTGGCCACGAGTCTCAGTCTCCCTGTCTTTTTCTCATCACTGCTTGGGCAGTCTGTTGAGAGAGTGTACAGTCCCCCGAGGGACCAGCCCAGAACCTCTTGTACAGCAGCTTCTTCTATCACCCGCATTGGGTCGGGGGAGGGACCTGGATCCAGAGGAGCCAATGGTCCCGGGCTGCCAGGACCTCCCCTTGTGGCCCTGTCCCAGCATCACTGGAGACAGCATGGAGATGTCACGCCCCATCAGCCCTCCCTCCACCCCCAGCCAGGCGCCCCAGGCACCCCTTGGCAGCCAAGGGACCAAAGGCAAAAAAGGGCTTTGTCCCTGGGCAGGGGGAGGCCTGGGAAGGCATCCAAGAGGCCTCCCCCAGCCACAGGAATGTGGTGAGACTTTGAGATCCCCCCCGCCAGGGTGCCCTTGGCTATCTAGAGCTGCCTTGGCTCATCGTTGCCCCCTCCAAAGCCCCAGTCCCTGATAGGGTTGCTTCCTGCCCCTCTGAGATCCTTCTCAGCCTGAGTCCCCCCCTTTTTTTTTTAATCTGGTCATCTCAGCACAGTGGCTGTAGATTTGGAGCAGTCACCATCATTGTCACTGGTGTCCTGGCCCAGGCCTGTAACCCCTGCAGTCCTGACTTCCTTCAGACAAATCCAAGGACGAGAGGAAGTGGAGAGTCCTAACATAATGGCAGCTGCCCCAGGCCCTGTTAAGAGGCTCACATCCCAGCTCTGTGCCCATGTGGGGAACTAGGCAGGTGCCTTCTCTTGGAGCTTCAGTCTCCCGCTCTGCAAACTGCAGAGCCTGACAGTCTGTCCTTGTGAAGAAGGGACTGAGCTGGTGTCCTCAAGCCAAAGGGAAGCTCCTGGGCCACAGCAGCCAGCTAGGGGGCCCGTGTCTGACTATGGCACCACAGCCCAGGAACAATCACATTGAGGACCGTGCTAAGTGAGCGCTTTGCATGAACTTCCCCTCTGGAGGAGATTGTGCTCTCCCCATTTGCAGATGGACAGAGTGGGGTCAGAGAGGGTCAGGGCCTTGTCCAAGGCCACCAGTTAAAGCAGCTACAAAGCCAGGACTGGAACTGCACCCCCAGTGTGGGGTTCTGGCTCTTGTCGCCCCAGCCCCTCCCTCCTGTGTCTGTTCTTTCCTCTCCTTTTCATCAGGGCCCTTGGCTCCAGGCCCGCTTGGCTGCCTCCTGCAATTAGCCCCTATCACTGTTCCGGATCGCAGCCCTGGGCCCCATGGAGACAAAGTCCCCTGGGCCCCTTGTGGCAGCCAGTGGAGGCTGGGGGGTGAGGACATGGGGGTGACCAGTGCCAGGCTGAGCTGGTCTGTCCTGTTTTCTCTTCTCCCAGAGTCCTGTGGAGGCCTGGGAGGAGCTGAGTGGGCAGAAGTGGCAGGAACAGGAGGAATGTGCCCTCTCCTCCCAGCCCCTGCCCTTGCCCCACCTCATTATCCAACCTCACCTGGCTCCTTCCCTGGCTTATTGCTGCCCACACCCCAGGGAAGGAGGCCACCAGGGCAGCAGGAGTGGAGGCAAGATGTCCAAGTGCCACATCTGTTTCTGGGAACCTAAAGCTCTACTTCAGCTGCCCAGGGCCAGTGTATCTTCTCTCATTCAGTCATTCAGCAAACACCCCTGAGCTCCTGTGAAATGATCCTTGTACTGACCAGGTCCCTGCCCAGGCACTAGGCTCTTGGGTGACTAATTACTGCTCATACCCTAGGGAGAGGGGCCTCCAGGGGAACAGGGATGAAAGCAGGTATCCAGGTACCATGTCCATTTCTGAGACCCTCAAGTTCTACTCTGTCTGCCCAGGGCCACCGTTTGATATTGGTCATTTAGTCTTCAGTGAACATCCCTGAGCTTCTCTTGGAGCTTCAGTCTCTAAAGCTTCTGTCCCTAAACTGACTTGGTCTCTGCACAGGCCCTCCCTGCAGAGCCTATAAAGCTCAGGGTGACCGTGAATGGCTGAGATGGCCCCCAGGACAAATCCAATCCTACCTGGGCCTCACGGTTGATAGGAGTTTGCCAAGGCAAGGGGGCAACCTTTGCAGCGGAAACCCCACTTGCAAAGATGAGCAGATAAGCGGTGGGAGAAAGGACCACCTGCACATGCAGTGGATGTGAACAGCACATAGGATGAAGGATGGAGGAGGCAGGGTTTGAGTGCAATGGGGAGCCATGGTGGACTTTAGATTCCATAGCAAGCGCAGGGAACATTAGGCCATGCTTTACACAAAGCCTCCTGCTACCCCTGGGATGCGGACAGAGGGGTGGGACCCTGTAGACAAGCTTGGGTTTATTCTGGGAGGCAATGAGATGTGTCCTGAAAGCTGGCATGGGAGTGGTAACTGATGACGTCCAGGTGGAGGGACCGGCTGGCTGTCCCAGAGCCTCACTTGGCTTGAGTGTCTCTGCCTGTTTAAAAGATCTGGCCTCCCAGCCCACAGCTCTGTGTCTCCCCTGAGCAGGAGTTTCAAGCAGAGTCATGCTTGTAGGAAATAAACCAGGGGACCAGGCTGGAACCTTCACTGGGGAAATTTTAATTAAAGAGGAAGAAAAAAATAATTTTCTTGGCACCCCCATCATCAGTTAAAAGGACAGCTCGGGGAATCGTGGACAGTTACAGGCCTTCCTGTCCTAGTCCAGAGGCTGGGCATGGGGGATGTGCACATTGTGTGTTAACACATGTGTTCTGCCTGGTCTGTCTCTGCCAGTTGTTATGTGTGTGACAGGTGTGTGCATGTGCACATGTGTGCATTATGTACATGGGTGAAGGAAGGTACATTACCCTGTGTGTGCTTGTGTGAACAATATAGAAGTCACAACCACAGCCTGTGTCCACATGAGAGAGCGTGTGTGCATGTGTGTGTGAGTGTGCACACTACAGGAAGGAAGGTTGTGTCTGCACAACCTGGGCTACATGATAAGACCTCAGCTCAACTCAAATAGCCGCAACAAAAGATTCCCACCCTGCAGAGCCTTGGGTTCCTAGAATGGTGGTTTTGAATCTGTTGGAGTTTTGTTTGGAGGGTTGGGACATAGGAACTTTTGGGACTTTGATGTGAATTGTGGTTCCTCCCCCTAAAATGCTTAGAACATGGTGTACAAGTTCAAGGGGCTCAGAAGTACCCTGCAGCCTGTGTGTTAAGGAAAGGGGAGAGAGGGAGCAGTCCTGCTGGATTTGCCTTGTCCGGGTGCACAGGTATATATACTTCTGTGGATTTGTGTGTGTACATGTGCACGCATATGTCCACTGCAGGTACATATGCATTTGTGTTTCCATGTGTGTGTTTGCCCCATATGCCAGTACGAGCATGCATTTGCACATGCGTGCAGGTTTGTGTGCTTTGTCTGCACACTGGTGAGGAAGTGTGCGTTCCATGCCCAGGACTTCTCTATGTGGAGCTTCTAGCTTTCCTTGGCCTAAATTGCTCTCTCCCTTCCCCTTTCCTTAACTCAAGGAGAACTAGGTTGGTCTGGGGACTCCACACAGGCTGCAGGGTACTTCTGAGCCCCTTGAACTTGTACACCATGTTTTAAGCATTTTAGGGGAAGGAACCACAATTCACATCAAAGTCCCAAAAGTTCCCTCATCCCAACCCTCCAAACAAAACTCCAACAGATTCAAAACCACCATTCTAGGAACCCAAGGCTCTCCATGGGCCATCCCCTAAAGCCCACTGTGTCACCTTTTCCCTCCATCCCTTCCCCATGCCCACCCCATGAGCAGATCCAGTGGTTCCCCTTCCTGGATCCTGCAGCTTCTTGGACACCTGTCCTGCAGAATAAAGTGGTAATCCAGGCCTGGCCCCCTCTACTGTTGTGTGAAAGGACAGATCCTGTCTCCCTTACCCTTGCATTCGCCCTGTGATACCATGATGCACAACACATGCTAGTGTCCTAGCATGGAGGACAAACGTCTTCAAATGACAACTAAAACTAGGTTGCGCTGCGCATAGTGAGCACCTACTGCATGCTAAGAGTATTTACGTTCTTCTCCAATGGTGAGCCTGGAAGGCACTTCCCCGTGGTTTAGCGGGGACACCGAGGCTCAGGAAGGTGAACTATATCAGAGCCCAGGAATATAGATAGGCCAGCCTGGCCTTTGACACCTTCCAAGAGAACTCAGTTCCCACCTGCCTCCCATCCCAGCAAGCCATGGTCTGTGGCTCTGTGAAGGTCCCAGCCTGGGAACCTACTGACCCTGGGCTCAAGGTCATGAAGGAAGGTCTGCTGGTGTGCGGGAGCCCCGGCTGAGAAAGGTCACCTGAAACCATCCCTCCTTCCCCAGCCCCGGCCAAGAACACAGAGTCTGTGACCCCATGCAGGGCCGAGGGCTGCTGAGCACCTGGAATGTCCCGGCCATCACAGAGCCTCCCAGTCCCACCGCAGTGCAACACCCCAGCTGCTGCCCACCCCCACCCTGATCCATCAGAAAGAGAAAGTCCTTGGGCGGAACCAGAACTTAGTCCAGTCAGGCTGTGGGACCGTGGGGAAGCCCCTCCATCTCCCTAGGCCACACTAGAATCAGGCCAGGAGGAAGAAAAGCCTGGGCAAAGGCTGAGGATAGGGACGGTAAAAGTGGCAGAAGGAACAGTTCAGTTTGGCCCGTGAAGCAGCAGGAGGTCAACAGAGTTCTTAGCCAGCCAGCCGTGGCACAGGTGACAGGTGTTGACTGTCACACTGCTGGGAGCAGCTCAAAACTGAGAATAGCCTAAATAGGTATGGGAGGGGCCGGGGATATAGCTCAGCGGCACAGGCGCCTGCCTGGCAAGCGCAAGGTCCTAAGTTCGATTCCCGGTACGAAAAAAAAAAAAAAAAGACAAAAAAAAAGGAAAAAACAGCCAAACGTTAAAAAATTAAATAAATAAATAGGTATGGGACCACCAGGCACATGCTGTGACAGAAGCCACTGTCTCTCTGTGCTGACCTGACAGCCAGGTGTCAGATCTGATTAAGCAGGGGAAAGCTCAGACAGAGAGTTACAGAACAGTTACATTTCTATTAAAATGAGACAGGAAGGGGGCTGGGGATTTAGCTCAGCGGCAAAAGCGCCTGCCTGGCAAGCACAAGGTCGTGAGTTCAGTTCCCGGTACCGGAGAAAAACAAAAACAAAAACAAACAAAAAAAAAAGAGACAGGAAGGAGGGAGGGAGGGAGACAGAGAGAGACAGAGATGAGGGTAGGAAGAGGGAGAAGAAAAAGCAGAGAGAGCAGAGGCAAACAACTATACCTAGAAAAAAAATTACATTCTCATGAAATTGCCACCTCTTGGAGCAAAGAGAGCTGACTGTCCCTCTGTTCTATCTGTTGCTGGCACTACAGCAGACTTCATTTTTCACACTTGCTGCATACCAGGAGCTGTGCCCAGGCCTTGCACAGACTGGCTCATTTGAATGTTTCCACTTTATGAAGAGTGCCGTTTCATAGATGGGAAGACTGAGGCTTTCACATCTGGGACCTGCCCAGAACAGTCATGATTTGAGGCTCAACTCAGGTCCATCTCAAACGAGAGCTTGCCTTTTTAACCCCAGGCTGGAAATGATACTCCTAATGAGTAGCTGAGATTTTTGTAAGTTGTGAAGATATATTTCTGGGACCTGTCTTCCAAAGGCCTCAGACAGGCACAGTGGGAGGCGGGAAATAATGGTGGGCTCGGAGGGGCAAGGTTGGAAGGAAGAGAGATTGAGATGGATGGTCCTGGTAAAAATGTGCTGCCCCGGTCTTGCCCTTGCAATTCACTCCTCAAGGCCTCCTGAGAGCCCCCTGCTTGACCAACTTCTCTAGGACCATAGAATTCACCCATGAGCCAGAGCTGTACAGATTCCACCAAAAGGGGCCACAGGACACTGAAAGCCCAAGGGTCTCTCCAACTGGGGACTTGAGGCTGCTGGAGAGGACGCAGATCATCTCACCCGTCCTCCCAGAGTCCTGGGTAGAGGGCTGCACCTCACACCTGAACCTCCTCTGTTTGGGTCTGTTTCAGGAACTGGTGCTCGTATGTGGTAACCCGTACCATCTCATGCCATGTGCAAAATGGAACTTACCTTCAGCGAGTGCTGCAGAACTGCCCCTGGCCCATGAGCTGCCCAGGCAGCAGGTAAGTGAGCCACAGTGGAGAAGGACCGCATGGCTTTCCTAGTGGTAGAGCTGCTTAGGGATAAAGGCTAGGCCCCCGGGAGAGGCCGCAGCAAAGGCAGTGTTATATCAGAAGGAAATCCCCAAGGGCTTTCTGGGGAGGAAGGAAGTCATGCTGTAGAGCAGCATGCACCTCTGTTCCTTCACTGGGTGAGTATCACTGCAAGACACCAGCCAGCCCAGCCTCTGGGCCTTTCTGTCCAGTTTTGTTTCCAGATCCCATTGGCTGAAATGCCAGACTGCAGACAGAGATCCCAGAGAGGGCTTGGAGGTAGCAGAGGCTCCTGGGGGCTCTGAGTTTGTCCCCATGGACATCCAGGACAGCAAGGAAGGTGGCAGAAGACCTTGTCTGAACTGGACACTTTTTCAGCTACAGAACTGTGGTGAGACCCACATACAAGGTGATGTACAAGACAGTGACCACCCGCGAGTGGAGATGCTGCCCTGGACACTCAGGAGTGAGCTGCGAAGAAGGTAGGACTGTTTGGCTGTTGCATGCGTCCTTGTGACAGTGGGCCACATGCTTCCTAGGAGTGCACAGGAGTTTCACCTGCGGCTAGTCCAGCTGTACAGCACGTGCACGGTACCGTGCATGTAGGAGTCCATTGTACAGACCTGCTGGGCATGGTGTACCTCAGATACAGTGAGTACCTGCTCTTTCCTCATGATTGCCACTTGCTTCTCAGAGACTCCCAGGGCCTTAGGAAGTATTTCCTATTTGTTGTACTGCTCACATGTTAAATCACACCATCCTAAGTCTTTCTGCCAAATTTGGTGTGTTAGTAAGTTACCTGGCACTATAACAAAATACCTGAAATAACAAATTTAACACAGCAAAAAGGTTAATTTTGGCTGACATTTTGGAGCTTCTGGTCCATGACTGTTTGGCTGTGTAGATTTGGACCTATGGCAAGGTACCACATCTTAGAGGGAGCATACTTTGTGGCCAGGAAGAAAAAAAAAAAAAAAAAAAAAGTGAGCCAGGGTCCCATAGTCCCCTTTGAGGTGAACACACGCACAGAGAACTAAAGACCTCCCATTAGGCCTCACCTCTTAAAGGTACCACCACCTCCTAATACCACCTCCCTGGGGAACAAGCCTTTTATCAACACATGAGTCTTTGGGGGACATCACAGATCCAAACACTGGCACCTGGGGAAACCTCTGGATGTTTCCATGGGCATGGTAACACACCACATGGAGGCAAAAGGCTATGTCAGTCAGGTCAGTAGTCAGAGAGTTCAGTGGTCAGAGAGGTAGGGATGGTGAGACCCACTTTGCAGGTGATGGATTCCTATGTGGCAGTGTCAAGATTCAAACCCTGTCTGCCTAGCTCCATTTCCTCAGGGCCTGGAGGATGGACTGAACTGCAAACCCAATGAGTAGAGTATGGTCCAAGCACAGGGACCCCTGGCCCCACCTACGTTCTCTGTATGCAACTTTGTGTGACTCAAAGCCTGGCACCCAGACTAACCTCCCTGGAGCCTGGGCTCCCTCTTCCCTGGAAGCCCACTCCTTGCTGAACTTGCAGAGCCATCTCGGCCACTGGGACTCTCACTGCTCGGCTGATTCCATAAGTGGCAAATCCGGGGCGCCAGGAGCTGAGCTCACAAGCATGGTCCTAGAGGGACTGAGCTGACCTGGAACCAACCTGAGAACCTGGCCCATGGGCACCTCCTGGACAGAGGCACTCAGGGGCCCAAGCAGCGCAGGAATGTGACTGTCAGTGACAGGATGTAGCCTGATTCCAGAAGCAGGGACATGGGAAAATGTGGTTTCTGAATCAAGGCATCATGGTGCTAGCAGAGGGCACTGCTCATAGGTGATTTTGGAGAGAGATTTACCATGGCCCAGTTCACAGATGGAACAACTGAGGCACAGAGGCAGAATCAAGAGCCCAGAGTGACACAGGGATCAGGCAGGGACAAAATTCAACAAAGAGCAGAGAAGGGAGGGCTCTGACAAGTTCTGATATGGAAAGAGTCCCCAGGAGGGCTGAGGAGGAACCGGATGGCTAGAAGGAAAGGGGCATCCTCATGCCAAACAGCCCAGCAGAGAGGCAGCCACGACCTTGCATGAGAAGCTGGGAGCCTGGAGCAGCACCCTCTCCTCCTAGTGGAGAGGAAGGCAGAAGGGCCACGGGGCCAGGAGGAGTGGCTGCCAAGGAGGCCCCAGAGGAGCCATGGCTGAGTCCCCGAGGTGTGGGGCCCAGCCAGAGGGTCCTCTGTCCCTGGTTCCCCTCCCAAGGAAAGACCCAGTCTCTTGGGCCTTCAGGACATGTGTCCTTGAATCCAGCTGCTGGAGCCCAGGTGTCCAGGGCCTGGACTAAGAGCCTGCAGCTCTGCCACAGCTGAGGCAGGGGCGGCTCTGGGCCAGGCCAACCCTGAGGTCTGCTGGCTCCCTCTGCAGGGCCTTCAGGTCCTAGCCTGAGGACCAGGGTAGCCAGAACTTCATGGGCCAGGCCAGGTCTGCCACGCACAGCTGTGTGGCCTTGGGCGGGGGACTCCCCACACATTGTGCAAGTCATTGTGCAAGAGCACTGGGCTGGGCCCCAGCAATCCAGGCAGCATTCTCCACCCTCCCACTCGGAGGGAGGGCGCCAAGCTACCACGTGCACTATGATAGCCTCAGGCTGCCTGGCCCTCACCTGTGAAGTGGGCACGTGATGTAGAACGGTGCTCAGTGCTGCTGCTGGGATGAGATGAAGCAGTGAAGACTCCGTGGGTGCCAGAGCACCCCATGGTGCATGCTGCGTGGTGCCTGATGGGATGGGAAGGGCTTCTGCTACCCACAGGGTTGGAATGAAGGAACGGGAAGTGGTGACCAGATGCCCGGACCTGAACATTCTAGAAAACTTCTCCCCTGAGGCCTGAGTTGGGGAGCTGGGAGATGTGGGGACGTTGCTGGCCCATCCCAGGCTTTTTGCCCTTCCTCTCACAGCTGGGATCCGGCTGAGCTCCACCCACTGTTTCCCCTCCTGCTGGTTGCCCTTATGGCCTGCTCACTGCTGTGACCTGACCTTGGGGCCACAGAGCTGCATCACATGGGTGACAGCCCACAGCAGCATCGAGTGAGCCGCAGGTAAGGGGAACTTGTCGTTCCAAAATCTAGCGCTCATCAGTTAGTTATTCTACGCTGATAATACAGTGTAACTATGTTATACATACTGTATTGGGGCAACTTATTTCACCTCTCTAAACTTGACTTTGTCTGCCAGTCGGCTGGGAATCAGAAGTGGGCTGAGCATGGTGGCACACGCCCGTAGGCCCAGCACTCTGAGGCTGAGGCAGGAGGATCGCCATGGGATCGTTCAAGGCCAGCTTGGACTACATAGTGAATTCAAGGCCAGCCTGAACTTCATAGCAAGACCCTGTTTCAAAAAAAAAAAAAAAAAATAGTGGATAGTCATGACTGTGTCATAGCAGATGCTCCATAAATGTCTTCCTCTTCCCTTCCCCTCTTATACTGGGGATTCTGCTGACCAGCAGACACAGCCCTGCCTCCCACCTCAGAAATCTGCTCCTCAGTTAGCTGCTCAACAAACAGACCTTGATCCTCCAGGCTTTATAATCATGAGGCTGGTGGAATGGAGTCAGGACCTCACCACTCTCCTCTCTGGCTTTCTCCTCTATGGAGTGGGGAGATTCTCTCCGTGACAGTGAGAGAGGATAGTCAGTGAAGGTTCACGACCACCTGGAGGACAGAGGTACATATGGGGAAACAGAGACTCAGAGAGGTAAGGGGACTGGCCTGGGGCCACTCAGCATATCAGAGTCAGGAGTGAGACCCTGAGGAGGAGGGCTGAGGCGGACCTGGCTGAGGTTCTTACCCTGCCAGCTGCTGGAAGCAGTGGGTCTCACCAGAAACAATGGATGAGAAAGCTCCAAGTCTAGAATGTACCTTGTAGGAGAGGCAGGCAGGGGGCTGGCATAGCGCCGAGGCCATGGCAGGAGGGTAGGGACAGCCCAGCAATCATCTTCTGTAGGTCTGGGCCTGAGTCCTGAGTGCCCTGGCCTGGTGGGCTCTGCTAAGGGTAGGGTTGCCTCAGCCCCGCTTCTTGGGGCACTCTGCAGACAGGTCTCTTGCCCATTTGCCCCATTTTCTAGATGACAAAGACAGAGAGGTGCTGGTCTCAATCACACAGCACCTAAGCGTTTCGCCCAGATTCTCCCCAGGGCTGTGACCTGAGGCCTGTGATATTCCCCTGCCCCAGACCTCCCATGGTAATAATGATAAAGGCAAGGAAAGCTGCCACCAGCCTCTGACCTGGGTGGTACACACTGACCCACCTGCATGGTGCCTGAACATCATGGCACAGAATGTCCAGATCAAAAAGTGAGGCTCAGAGAAGGGAGAGCTGTGCTTGTGGTGAGAGCAGCAGCCTGAGGAGCTGGATTCAAGTAGGTCACCCTCACTGCGGAGTCAGGGGTCTTTCCTCTGCATTGACCTGTCTGGAAATATCCCAGGAAATGTGTCAGCCAGTGTCCCCCACTGGAAAGAGAGGGGCCAGGGCTCACCCTCTTATCTTCATGGGCCCCTGGAGCCAGGCTGCCTGTGTTTCCCCTTCACCGGTCCCGCTCTGTCAGCCTAATGGGCTTTTCCCATCCATGGACCCTCACAACCCTTGTCCTCGGGGGTGGGGAACCAGAGTAGGGATGTTTGCCTGGGACCACACAGCCCAAAAGCCTCAGAAGACATGCAGGAGGATCCAACCAGTGCTCCCAGGACCCTCAGCCTCTCCCACCATCAAGGCCAGGGCCCCCCATACATTCAGGTGCCAGACATGAGCCCGGCCTGCCTTTTGCAGATTCAGAGTCCCAAGGACTACGTGGAGCCAGTCCTCTGTGTCCACTGCTTTCCACTCCTGCCTCTGTCTGGGAGGCTCTGCAGTGCCCACTTCCCTGCCCATCCAGCAAGGTTGCCGCCCTGCCTGCTCTCCATCACAGCCAGCTCCACCTTCCCTCCCTAGTCCTCTGCCCACCCATGGCCTTGGCAGTTGTTGCCTGCGCCCCCAGGCCTGTCACTTTCTTGGTGCTCCTACCAGGTTCAGTTCGCCCCCACCCTGCCCGTGTTACTCCCATGGCTCCAGTGCCTGGCACAGTCTGACATAAGGTAAGGGCACAGGATGAAGTGGAAACCACCCCCGCAAAAGAGGGGCCAGGCCAGACATAGACCAAGCTTCCCAGAGGCCTCCCGGTCAGGTTTCTTTTCAAGGTGGCTCTGACCCTGGATCAAGTCACCAGCTGGCCAGCAGCAAATATTTACATTTGCAAAGCAAATTCCCGCAGGAGACCTGGGCTGGGGCTGGGGCAGCTGCATCCCTGTGGCCTGTGGTCACTGAATTATGCTGACCCGGGGGTGGAGGGAGGGCTATAAACAAGAGACCCTTCCCTTGGATTCTCTCATGGAGGGAGAAACGGGTGGAGCTCAGGGGCTTTCAAACTTCTCACAGTTCCATTCCTAATTTAGGGCAGGCTAGGAATCCACTCCCCTACATCCTGCTGTGTAGAGAGCACAGGCTTCTGTTTCCTGGGCTTCTGTGTTTTTTTGTTTTGTTTTGCAGTGCTGGCGACTGAATGCAGGTCCTTCACACTGAACTACTTCTTCAGCTTTTCATTGTAATTTGAGACAGGGTCTCAATAAGTTGCCCAGGCTGGGCCCAAACTTGTGATCCTCCTGCCTCAGCCTCACAGAGAGCTAGTATTACAGGAATATACTACTATGCCTGTTCTCTGTGCCATGAGATGCCATGAGAATCCAACAAGAAGAGACACTGACTTGGCACTGGGCAGAAGGACGGAGCTGCTTTAGGGGACATAGAACTAGAAATTACAGAAAGCACTGGCCTTTGAAGGTCAGGACAGAGTGATGAGGGTGTCAGGGGGGCCTTTGGTACTGGTAGGTGCCCTGGTCTGTCCAGGAAGGCTTCCTGGAGGTGACATGGGAGCCGCAGCTATAGGGATTGGGGGAGGACATGGTGTATGTGTGTCAGGTGGGTGGGAACCTTCCAGATTGTAAGGAGTGCCCTGGGGTAGAGCTTAGGTTTGTGTCCTGGGACTAGGCTCAGGGCCCTCCTGGGACAGCAAAGACAGGGCAGGGCAGGAGCCCTTCAGGAACGTCCAGGAGCCTCAGGGGACGGCCTCTCAGCCCACTGCAGCTTGCTTAGGGCCAAACAGAGCAGGAAGAACGGAACATGTTTGTCCTATAGAAAACCATACCCCAACCCACAGCTTGCTCCTTACTAGGATTTTGTGTTCTTTATAAAGAGAGGGTCTTTGTGTAACCTGGTTCATCTCTCAAGGTATTTCTGTCCATTTATCAGACTTCAAGGGAAGTTTGGGGTAATTTTTGTGAATCTTGAATCCAGAATCAACTTTTCCCTGGTCTTTTGGACAGTTCTGTTATTTCTTTAAATTTACTTTTCTTGGTGGTGTTAGGGTTGAAGCCAGGGTCTTTTGCATGCTAGGCAGGCTGTCTACCACTGAGCTACACTTCCAGTCCTAAACTTTTTCATAATGGAAATTCACAATTACTTTGAGCCCCTTCTCTCTATATGGCTGGCCTGGTTAAGTTTCTGCTCATTTTTCTTGTTCTTTCTGGCTCCTAGTGAAATATCTAAAACCAAATTGGTTGAAAAAGAATTTCCAGCCACAAGTCCATCGATAAACAACTCAGGGATACCCACATGTGACATTAGAATATTTATGCTCCTTTTCAAGATGTTCGGGTCTGCCGTCCACATTGTTTTGCTCTTTATTTCTTTGGCTTGCTTGAAATTTATTTTCAGCCCATGCTTTGTGTGTTCAGAAACAGAACTTTCATTGTAGCCCTTGAGGACACACAAGACAGACAAGGTCCCTGTCCTGGTGAGGTTAGTGTTCTACCCAGGGGCAAGATAAGAGGCAGTCAGCTGAGAAACTGTGCCAGTCAGTAATATGTCAGAGGGAGGAAAGTGCTATTAAAACAAAACTAAGATGAAGTACAAATGCATGCCTGCATTCAGTTTGGGCTAGGCATGTAGCTCAGTGGTAGAGCACTTGCCTAGCATATGTGAGCCCTGGGTTCCATCCCCCGTACTGCAGAAACAAAAGTATGAGAAAAAAGGAAGACAGTAGAAGTGTAGCAGGAAGGGCAGGAAAAAGCTAATACTTCATCACAGAGAAAACCCAAATTTACACAGGGCTGGAATTACAGCCACTGCTTTGGGTCACCACCCTCAAACGGTAATAAAATGAACGTTTACATTTTCAATTAGGAGCAAAAGACCATTTCTCTCAGGAACCAGCAGTGCTGCTGGACACTGGGCCAGATGCCTCCACCTCAACCCCTAGAAAAGAGATCAAGCCCGGAAGTCAGACCTACCTTGGTTCAGATCCAGCCAGGAGAACTTCATGGATGTGACTGTGAATGAGTCACTACATTTCTCTGCTTTGGTTTCCTGATAGGGGAAAGAAAAGTCTCATTCACTCATCCATTCATCTGCGCGTGGGAGACAGGAGAGGTGGCACTGAGATGCTTCGTGCCACAGCTTTCCCATCTATTAAGATTATATGGCCCTGGGGGGGCTGGGGATTTAGCTCAGAGGCAAAGCGCCTGCCTGGCAAGCGCAAGGTCCTGAGTTCGGTTCCCGGTACCGGAGAAAAACCAAAAAAAGAAAGAAAAAAAGATTATATGGCGCTGGGGCTGGGGATTTAGCTCAGCAGCACAGCGCCTGCCTGGCAAGCGCAAGGTCGTGAGTTCAATTCCTAGTACCGGAAAAAAAAAACAAAA